ACCCCAAGTCCTCTGGGTCCCAGCCGATCTCCACAGGAAAGTCACCAGGCCAATGCACTCAAGGGACAGCCAGCTCCGTGCACCAGCTGTCAGCGAAAGAACAGGCAGGAGTCACATGGCTCTTCCAGGAGAGCAGTGCTGGGGCAGAGGTGGAACTGGGCCTGTTTCAATTCAAGGCAGCCAGGCATCGTGTCCGATGGGAAATGGAAACCCAGACAGATGCCCCGGGGCACCGTGAAATGGGATCTAATTTCTAGACAGACCGAAAAGTAAAAAACACATTCAAAGCATGACCAGAAGGGAAAGCCATTGAGGAGAGAGAGACCGTAGCAAACAGGAAGCAGCCAAGAACAGACGCCAGCACTGGGAGCGAGCACGCGAAGGCGAACGGCTGGGATAGGGACGGAGGGAGGTGAACGGAAAACACTCGGCTGATATTTAACAAGAGTGCTCCTGGGACGCTGACGCCTCCTCTTCAAGGTCCCATCTACACCCAGCCTAACACACCACGGCTCTCACCCTGCACACACCCACAGGACAGGCTGCTTATCACAGGCCAAGCAAGAGGCAATTTTTGTGGGTGCCTCAACAAAATATCAACCCCACCCTGCTGATCCAAATCCAGAGCTTTACCCGGAGAAACCTGAAACCCGCCAGCTACTGCTACGTCCAAGCACAAGACTCCTCAGCCGGCGAGGGACGCATTCATCTTAACGCGTTCTCAGTAGATGGCTGATTTGCGCTAGTGCGGGACAGACCCCGTGAGAACGACCGACTAATGAATTAGCAGGTACAAGCAAAGCCAGGCTCACATTGTACCAAACCAGCTGTTCCTCGGACAAGGTCCGGCTGAAAGATGTGGGCCGTGGCACAGCCTGGCAGCAGGGCATCTGAAAATGCTGCAAAGGGCTCCTGCAGCCTCGGCTTTGAAGCCTTGCCAAGCAGCAAGGAGAGCAAGTTGTTGCGACGGCGAATGGATGCACCCTAGCACCAGCCGGATCCGTGGGTTGCTCCCGTTCTCTGCCCCGGTTAGGCCCTTACCACAATACAGGTTGAACCTCTCCACTCCGGCACTCTCTGGTCTGGCAACACCCGCAGTCCGGCATGATTTTAGTGAGCCGGCTGTCCCCTTTTCATGGGGGTGGCCAAGTTTCCTGCAGTCCCATAACGTTTGTTTACAGCCACCAGTCCCAGCTCTCGTGTTCTGTAGCTCTAAATTTACCCCTAAATGTCGTCCGCAAGCCCGGCGAGCGGCGGGACCTCCCGCAGTCCAGCAAATTCTCTGGTTTGGAACCGGTCAGGTCCCGAGGGTGCCGGGATAGAGAGGTTCAACCTGTACTGCGATGACTGCATGGCTGGGACTGCCTTTGCTCTGTGTGTACAGCGCCCAGCACCACGGGGCCCTGGTTTATGCCTGTGGGCTCCTACAGTGACAGCAGCCCTATTAGTGTGTTACAGACGGGACACAGTCGGAACCTGCCCTCCCCCGGGCTCTGCAGAGTTGCTATTCGCCAGCAGGGAGGGTCTTTTAACAGGCGCTCAGAGTAAACGGGGACTCCTCACATCGTGCTTTAAAGACTCGGTTTCAGAGGAGTTCTGTAGCTCAGCCAGAGGTCGGGTGGATTATGGGAGTGGGGGGGTGAAGTTCTCTGGCCTGTAGCTTGCAGGAAGTCAGGCGCTAGATGATCATGATGGTCCCTTGCAACCCTGAAGTCTCCGAGCAGCACGGAACGCAGCTCACGTGGAAGGACAAGAGGGCTGGGCTAACAGGAGCACGCCTGCCCACAAACAAAGCCACGCCGCTCAGCCAGAGGTCGGGTGGATTATGGGAGTGGGGGGGTGAAGTTCTCTGGCCTGTAGCTTGCAGGAAGTCAGGCGCTAGATGATCATGATGGTCCCTTGCAACCCTGAAGTCTCCGAGCAGCACGGAACGCAGCTCACGTGGAAGGACAAGAGGGCTGGGCTAACAGGAGCACGCCTGCCCACAAACAAAGCCACGCCGCTGCTCTAGAGCCGCCGCTACAACCACTCCCGCCCACGGCTCAGCTGGGCCCACCTGGAGGGTTGTG